CTGGCTACACACAACCCAGAAGACTTAACTAGACATGAAGGGATCACATCTTGGTATTATTACCGATGTTCAAGTCAGCATCTTCCTAGCCCCCGCCCTCGTTTTTTTTAACTCTTTTTAAACTCAGGAAGTTGCAAAAACAGTACAGTCCCGTGTACCGTTCACTCAGCTTCTCCAAATGATGATATTTTATATAGTTATAGCACAATATCAAAACTAGGAAACTGCCAGTAGTACTTTACTGTTTACTAGACTACAGACTCCTTTATCCTTTTATTTTTTTTAATGTTCATTTATTTTGGGGAGAGAGATAGTGTGTGAGCAGTGGAGGGGCAGAGAGAAAGGGAGACAGAGACTCCAAAGCCAGCTCTGACAGTGTAGAGCCCAATGTGGGGCTCAAACTCACAAACCACGAGATTATGACCTGAGCCAAAGTCAGAGGCTTAACCGACTGAGCCACCGAGGTGCCCTTGCTGTATCAGTTTAATAGATAAGTTATACAATAGTGAACTTTCACAGAAACTCTTCCTACACTTGGGTATTCTAGTACTAAATAACGAATCCAGACTTCTAACTCAACTGCAAATTACCTACACATAAGCAATCCTTATACATACATACCTCATGCACGTAAACACAAAAGTTTGCACCCACACATGCACAAATTTATGTGAAAACAACAGCAATCCATTCTTTTCATCCATGTATTCGTGTTCTACTAATTTCTACTTTCCCTTGCTATTACTACATGAGGACTATGTGCAAGTGAATCTGAGGGCTAAAAGAAATCTTTATCTAAACTTCACCCAGTGCTTGGATTCCTTCTACAACATCCCCACCAATGACCCTTCAACCTTTGCTTGAATATCTCTAATGACAAGAAACAAATAAGTATGATGAAATCCAGTCAGCCGTTAGTCAATCCTAATTCTCAAAATCATTAGCTAAACTTTGAAAACTTATACTCATTTAGCTCTGATTGTATCCTTGGGGATATTAAAAAGCAAGTCTTATCCTTCATTACATTTGCTTTGCCTAGATCTTAGCTTGCACCTCTTGATCTGGAATAATTAATATCCCCTTTCACCCTCAATATTTGAACAAACATTACTTAATCACGTTGTCCTGGATAGTCCTCCAAAAATAGGAGGGACACATACGTTTTGATTAGGTTATGCATACTTCATGTTTTTAGCTATTCTCTGTATGATTTTGAGGGTCTTCACTAGCCTGATCGAATGTTCACAAGCTTATTTATATTCCAAGAGCCCTAATACTTAAATTCCTTGTTGCACATATGTATTAATAATGGATTTTGTAATCCAATTAAAGAACAGGAAATCATTTATTTCCCTTTGAATACTAGACCAAGATGTAGCAATGGCATTATTATCTCTGGGTACAGATACCTGAGTGTCTAGAGCAATGGTACTAGGGAACAGTCTCACATTCTACCAGTAGGTGTCACTCTACATACGATGTATTTAGAATTATTTAAGTTTCAATTTATTCTTTCAACAAATATTTATTAAGCACCCATTAGGTGCCAAGCATGATTCTAGGCACTAAGAACATAAAGAAGAAGACAGACAAGATGTTATTCTCATGGAATTTATGGTATAGAGACTGATGAACAAATTTGCTTTATTTATTTTCTATATAGAAGTCGGTAAAATCCTATTGCCGGGAAAATTTTATTTTCCTAAGTTAATAGACAACAACACTCAAATTAACTCATAAAGAACAAATAATGTAATGAAGCAGAATCAGAAAAACTGTAGTCTGTATAGACTAGATTAATGTACCCTGTGTATTTTCTACACTATTCTTCCAATCTTTCCATTTCTAAAACCCGAATGGAAAACAATTTATCTTTAAAAACAATTCAAATTTTTGGGGGTGCCTGAGTGGCTCAGTTGGATAAGCATCTAACTCTTGGTTTTGGCTCAGGTCATGAACTCATGGTTTGTGAGTTCAAGCCCCACCCAGGGCTCTGCACTCTGGGGGCAAAGCATGCTTCAGATCTTCTCTCTCTCTCTCTCTGCCCCTCCCTCACTTGCACTCTCTCTCTCTCTCTCAGAAAGAAATAAACATTTTTTTAAATTCAAATTTTTAAAAATCTATTCATGTTTTTATGAAGACTTAGAAATTTTAAAAGATTATTTGCTAAGCTTATTAATTCCCAAATACATATTTAGTTATCTCTACTTAGAAAAGTTAAATGTCACCTTCTCAACACCAAACATACTTCCCAGGTTAACAGAATATAGACAGTAGCAAATTATGCCTTAGCACACAATTTCGGAATTCCTCCACTGCTGAAAGTGCCTGTTTGGATAAACCTATGAGACTCATAGTTATTAGGAGGACTTCAAGGTGACTCACTCATGATTAGAGCACAGCAATGAAAGGTCATATTTTATCAAAACAAACAGATCAAAGAGAGGGGACAGACACTGCACATAAAAAAAGTATATTTGCTTGCACAGAAATCCAAGATCCTTGGAACTATTCAGTTCTTATTTTGCCTCTCTGTACTCTCAAACAGAATGTTCTCCAAACTGGAAAAGCTAGGGAAACATGGTTAAAGAAATATTTCAGGCTTAGAATTCTTTAAGTCAAAATTCAGTTTTATGAATTTGAGAAAAACAACGCTTACGATAATAAGACACCTAGAGTCCGTGTAATATTGAACCTACTGTTCCCTTTGGGATGCCTCAAACCATTACCTCTGTCTAAACTACCTGAGATATGCTGCATATTGTTCAGTTTTAGCAACAAATCACATGCATACTTTAGAACACACAAAATACTCAATGAACATTAAGTTCCAAATGACAACTGACGTGCTTCATAAAAGATGATTAAAAAAAAAAAAAAGGTCTACAACAGACACATGAAATGATGCTCAATGTCACTCATCATCAGGGAAATACAAATCAAAGCCACACTGAGACACCACCTTATGCTGGTCAGAGTGGCTACAATGAACAAATCAGGAGACTACAGACGCTGGCGAGGATGTGGAGAAACAGGTACCCTCCTGGGCTGTTGGTGAGAATACAAACTGGTACAGCCGCTCTGGAAAACAGTGTGGAAGTTCCTCAAAAAATTAACAATAGAACTCCCCTATGACCCAGCAATAGCACTGCTAGGAATTTATCCAAGGGATACAGGAGGGCTGATACATAGGGGCACACGTACCCCAATGTTTATAGCAACTCTTTCAAAATAGCCCAATTATAGAAAGAGCCTAAATGTCCATCAACTGATAAATGGATCAAGAAGATGTGGTTTATCTATACAATGGAATACTACTTGGCAATGAGAAAGAATGAAATCCCACCATTTGCAGCAACGTGGATGGAATGGTATTATGCTAAGTGAAATAAATCAGTCAGTGAAAGACAGATACCATATGTTTTCACCCATTTGTGGATCTTGAAAAACTTAACAGAAGACCATGGGGGAAGGGAAGGGAGCAAAAAAAATTACAGAGAGGGAGGGAGGCAAACCATAAGAGACTCTCAAATAAAAAGAGCAAATTGAGGGATGATGGGGAATGGGGAGAGGGGAAAGTAGGTGATGGGCACTGAGGAGGGCACTTGTTGGGATGAGCACTGGGAGTTATATGGAAACCAATTTAACAATAAATTATATTTTAAAAACAAAATATAAAAATAAAAATGGCCTAAATTAATTTACACCTTAATATTAAATAAAGCATTTTCTTTTACTTTGAAAGGTAAGGTGATGGTTGATCAAATACATTTAAAAATGGTTTATTGTGTGCGATTTTTTAATTTATTATTTTTTTAATGTTTTATTTATTTTTGAGAGAGACAGGGTGTGAGCAGGCAAGGCATAGCGAGAGAGGGAGACACAGAATCTAAAGCAGGCTCCAGGCTTTGAGCTAAGAGCTCAGAGCCCAATGTGGGGCCCAAACCAACAAAATGCAAGATCATGACCTGAGCAAAAGTCAGATGCTTAACTGACTGAGCCCCCTAGGTGCCCCATGTGTGGTTTTTAAATTACACTTGACGAGGCACCTGGGTGGCTCAGTTGGTTAAGCACCCAACTTCGGCTCAAGTCATGATCTCGTGATCTGTGGGTTCAAGCTCCGCATCGGGCTCTGTGCGGACACCTTGGAGCCTGCCTCAGATTCTGTCTCCATCTCTCTCTCTGCCCCTTCCCTGCTCACACTCTCTCTCTCAAAAAGCAAAACAAAACAAAATTTAAAAATAATAAATTATTTATTTATGTCTGCCAATACTGTGAAATTGTGGCATATCTGAGATGTCACCAAATTTGGAAAAACTCAATAGTGGATCTCTGTTATCTCTTTATTTTTATTCCAAATACAAAAATAAAGGAGATGTGGTTGGGGGGAGGTGTGTACTGGAAAAAACACTGCTCTTGGAGTCACAAAGATATAGGTTCAAACGCCAGTACTACCCTAAGTCAGCCATGTGATTTCTGGGTAAGTTACTTACTCTGTTCTACACACCACTTTCCCACCATGATGCAAAAAGCAGGGTTGTGAGAAGGATTAAGCAACTTGCTTTATATGAAATGCCTGTGTATGCCTGACACATTGTAGGTTCTCAGCAGACAGTAGGTCTTAAGAGGGTGACATTTTTCTTTTTGACCATTAGATTGACTATACCGGTTAATGTTGAAAACTACCAACAAGTTTTTGTAACTTACAAAAAGTATATCTTTACCCTGCTCTAGCAGGTTTATAAAACCAAAACCCCTTACTCAAAAGAATGCCAACAAATATGCACCTTATTCTTTAGCTCAAATATATTTTGCATGACCTTACATGAATTGCTTAGATAAAAGCTTTTTCTTTTCTGCTTTTGTTATTTTAAAGTGCAGATGCATTTGAGTCATTTTCTCCTTTTGTTTCATATCCTTAAGATCCAAAGCTTCAAAGACATAATGTCAGCATGCAGTCGGTTTATGACTGAACTCTTGAAGAGACACTGAAGAATTACCTTGTCAATCACCCCAAGGACTCTGAAGGCCTTCAGCTCCTCGGCGGGGCTCCTTAGGTTCCAAGGGGGCCTTGAACTTAGTGATCCTGGAGGCTAATGGAAGATATCAAAGATTATACATCAATCAGGGAGGTACTTGAAGGAAGACTGCCTGCTGAAGCAAATGCCAGGCCAAAGGAAGCTAAATTTATCATAAATCAGAGAATGAAAAGATGAAAGGAGGAAGTTTCTGTTTGTCTGTAATGTAAAATAAAAAAAATAATAAAATCAAAAAGAAAGAAAATCAAAAAGAAAAAGCAAGAAAAAAGTTGCAAGTAAATAAATCATGATAACATAGAAAACAAAATTTTAAAAAGAAAAAATAATGAGCTGATATAGTTTCTAGAGCAGTAATTCAATTCAAAACTATAGAGCTGTAATGAAACTTTGTAACAAATAGATAACTAAGACAACCATCCATCACAGCCTTATATTTATCCCAGATGGCCCAGAGTAATTGAGAAGGAGGGTACTAAAAAACAACGTAATAATCGATAAACTGGGGGAGAGAGGGAACACAAGTCATTCTCTCTCATCATGAAACTATAGTCTTTTATTGTTACTTTATAATCATATACTTAGGTATTTTAAGAGGATTGGCAGAGTCAAGTTTAACCAGAAGAACTGTCATTAATGGTGAAAAACAGAAACTCCACCATATAATCAATAATTGTTACAACTGAGGTTGTTTAAGCCTAGAAAAGAAATGATTTACAGTAGAAAAATATTTTTTAATATTTGAACATGTGTGATGTGGAAAACTAGGTCTGTTGGCTACCAAAAAAATAAATAAATAAAAGGTCAGTGAAAACAGGAAGGGATATTTCAGTACCACACATAGTAAAAGAATAAATCTCACTCCCTATCCACTGGTCTTAGTTTTTCCCCATCAGTAAAGTAAGACATTTTTTGTTGTCTGAAGTCTATAAGAAAATGCAGGAACACTGTTCTCTCCATGAATGGAAGACAACTATCCTGGTTAAACAAATATCATGACTAATAGTTACTGATATACCATTTTGGATACTTCAAGTCCTCGTGCAGACCAGTATCACCAGACAGAAAGCTCCCTGAGAACAAGAAATATGCCTTATTCATCTTTATCTACACAGTGCCTAGAGTGTTAGTCAAAAGGAGAGAGGAAAAGCAGAAAAGAGAGGAAGGAGGAAAAGAGGAAGAAAACGAAAGAAGGAGGTTACATAAAGAAATCAGGTGTCATTTACAACTGGGAAAACTATCATTTTTGAAATTTTCTAAAAGCAGCAATTCTAACTGCTTCCAAATATTTGTTTTTAGGTTTAGCAAGCAAGTACTAACTTCAGTGTGCCAGAAGAGGTGATGTTCCCCAACTTCTTACTGTATTGCTTGCAGTCTTTCTACTCCACAACACATTCTGATCATTAAAAATTAATCTCTCCCTAATCTATTACTAAGGAAGAGTAAGAATTGCTTGTGATTTCTGGTAAGAGAAATGTTAAGGAAAAGTTATGGGGGAAAAGAATATCCTATATTAAATGATAATTTATGCATTATATTCATCTTTGAATATATGGCCAAATGCATCTAACATCCATACCTCCTATTTATACCTTATACCTTCTTACTGATGGTATTGGAGCCTTCAGTTTTTCCAAAGAAAAGTTTTGGTTCACTGTGGTAATCTCAACAGCAAAGACAGCAAACTACAAATCTTTACAAACTGTACCTTTCAGTGAATAAGTACTATGCGCCCAGTATGTGCATGATAACTGAAATAATATAAACCATCGAAAGTCATGATCCCCTAGCTTTAAGAAGTTTACTACTTATTTGAAGAGACAAGCAAAATACATGAAAAATTAAATAATAACAAAACATTTTTTAGGAATTCAAGACATACACTTATCATATGATAAACTGTGATCTCAGAAAGAAATGGAACTAAAAATGATTTTAAATGCTATGTTGAAGTTAGGTTAGGAAATGGATATTCTATACAGGATTGGAAGGAAACTGGCCTGGTAGGGAAAAAATGTTCAGGTTGTAGAACAAAGGAAAATAAAATTAGGCACTTAGGGTTGGTCAGTTTTCACAGGCCTTGAATGCCAGTTCTGGACCATATTCTCCAGAGTCTAGAAAACAAGTTTTTGTATGAGAAACAACCTAAGGAAAACAGTGATTCAGTAAGCTTACTTCTGCAAAAATGGGAATGGTGAAATTGTAATGGGGAAAGACCAAAGGCAAAGTGATCATTAAAGTTCTCTTTCCACTTTAACCATCTATAAAAGTTTAAGATCAGAGAAATGAACAAAGAAAGATCATGAAATAAAATCATCAGTAAAAACTCCTGTATTCCTTATATGCAGCGCTTAAATTGGGTAGAATCCCTATAGATCTATTCCTTTTTTCAGATGGCAAAAGGAAACATAAATCCACAGAATTTTAAGAACAGAAAGAGACAGAGATCAAGTCCAATGTTCTTTTTTTTTTTTTTTCAGATGAGAAAACTGAGAAGAGGCAAGGTTAAGCAATTTGTCTAAGATGACAAAACTAGATAATATATAAGAAGGAATTACATCTTACTTATGAAATAATATAATATATTTGGGGAAACTCCAGCTAATGCTAAGGGAATGGGGGTTGGGCGATACAGTGTATTTCTAGGAAACATGGCTGATTTCCTTAATGAGAAAGGTAAAATTTTCATTTACGTATATTAACTACTGCAGCAGTCAATGCCTGAAGAAGCAAGGAGAAGTTGGATTCACCTATACCAAAACCAAACACAAGGGGTGAGAAGGGACAGAGGGTACACGATGGATCTTATGATACAAGAATGTATGATGAACCAACAATCTTCAAAACCAAAGATGGCAAATACTTATCACTCAACCCTTCAAGCCCATGCAGATATCTCTGTTCATCTCACACTCTGTATCACAATACAGTGTTCTTGGCAACCATGACCAGAGGATTGGGGTTAACACACTAATAAAACCTATTTCCCGTTTCTGTTCTACATTCTCTAAATGGCTAAGTGACACTTACCCTTGCTTTAGTTGGTTTCTTTAAAGTTGCTGTTTATCCTGCCCTGCCCACAGTTGTCTTCACTTGGTATGATTCTCTGTTTCAATGACATTTACCCCAATTCTTACCGAGCTGTTCCTGCAGTACTTAAACTTTAACATGCTTGCGCATCACCTGAGGATCTTGTTAAAATGGAGATTCTGATTAGGTCAGCCTGAGAGACACTAAGATTCTGCATTTCTAACAAGCTAAGAGGAGATGCTGATGCCACTGGTCCACCAACCACATTTGGAGTAGGGTTAGCTACCTGTCCTTAACCTAAGAGTAAGTCACCATTTTGGAGTGGGAGAAGATAAGGGTAAAAGGAAAAGCACTTTAAAAAAAAAAAAAAAAAAAAAATCCATCAAGAACGTACACTCTAAAACCTGATGGCTAACTACACTAGTTTCTGAACTTGGTTTCACCTGTATATTTTTGGCTTTGCCAAGACTTTCCCTGGTAACTTATTAACCCTCAAACCCAGTGTCCTAGCCTCTCTTCCATCACATTTCAAGGATGTGTCTTCACTGCAGTACTATTATTGATGTGGAATGCCCCCAATTGCCATCTAGGCTTTGTCTATGTCTCACTAAGGGTGACACAATACTCATTTTAAAATATTTTCTAGGGGCGCCTGAGTGGCTCAGTAGGTTAAGCATCTGACTTCATTCAGCTCAGGTCATGATCTCATGGTTCAAGGGTTCAAGCCCTGCATGGGGCTCTGTGCTGACAGCTCAGAGCCTGGAGGCTGCTTTGGATTCTGTATCTCCCTCTCTCTCTGCCCCTCCCCCGTTCATGATCCGTTTCTCTCTCTCTGCCTCTCGAAAATGAATAAACATTAAAAAAAATTTTACTAAATAAATATTTTCTAAAGAAGAATTGAAAAATATCAATAACACCAGTCAACAAAATGCACAACAGGAAAATATTTTCAATATCATAATAACTGTACTCAAAAATCTACAAATATTCAGGAAAGGCATATATTCTACATGTAAATTTTCATTTACATCTTGTTTCACTGCATGACAAAATACGTATTCATACTTTAGAAACAACACAATATTTTATGTCCTAAATTTAGACCATTTATTGTCTTTTTCCAAATTTCCATGATCTTAAGTTTACAATTCCTAGAGCTAAAAAGAGCAAAAATGCTTTTACAAGGCTTTTCCAGGAAAATTCCCTCTTAATATTAATTCTTGGGGCACGTGGGTGGCTCAGGCAGTTGAGCATCTGACTTCAGCTCAGGTCATGATCTTGTGGTTTGTGAGTCCAATCCCCACAGTGGGCTCACTGCTGTCAGCACAGAGCCTACTTCAGATCCTCTGTCCCCTTCTCTGCCCTTTCTCAGCTTGTGCTCTCTCAAAGAAAAATAAAATAAAAACATTTAAAATATATATTAATTCTTAAATCAAAGTCCTCTGCAATTAAAAAAAAAAAACTAAAAGGAAAAGGGGACACCTCGGTGGCTCAGTTGGTTAAGTGTCTGACTTCGGCTCAGGTCATGATCTCACGGTTCATGGGTTCGAGTCCATCATCAGGCTCTGTGCTGACAGCTCAGAGCCTGGAGCCTGGTTGAGATTCTGTGTCTCCCTCTCTCTCTGCCCCTCTCCCTCTCATGCTGTTTTTTTCTCTCTCTCAAAAATAAATAAACATTAAAAAAAAAAAAAAGAAGAACTCTGTCTGTCAGGTAAGACTTTACTTTTACTTTAAAGAAAATTCATTTCCTTTTTTCCTGAAACCTGCCCCTTAAGTTTTTCTAGAGCCTATTAATAATGAAGTAATGAAGAAAACAAAGAGTCAAAAAGGACTTTTGCTTTTTTCTGTCATTTTTAAAAAAGGATATTACCATCAATGACTGGGAAATTTAGAACCTTTATTTTTACCACAAGAGTCTCATAAATAAATTTAGTAAAGCAAAAGTTTAAATCATCACAGAAAACACAGGTGGAGTGAGTCATGACTTGGACTGCACCAAAGGAGAAAACAACTATCAACCAAAAATGTTAAAACCAGAAAGGATTCCTTTATTTTCCTAATCAACTAGACTAAAAAGAAATGTTTGCCCACGGATTTGAGAGACAATATCTGCTTTTGCACTGAATTTAAGAGCTAATGGGCCTCAGAAATCATTTATACTAATCCTCTGATTGTGTTGGTTGAAACTGAGGCCTAAAGATGGTTAAAAAAGAAAATAATGAATTCACCAAGCTAATCAAGAACCTCTACAAGACATTTAAGTTAGATAATAGATAAGGAAATAATTGAGCATGCCCCTGATCTAAGTAAGGGCCAGGTTTGAGAGCATAAAATACAGAAGTGAAATGGGGCACCTGGGGGCCTGGGCGCCAACTCCGGCTCAGGTCATGATATCACGGTTCGTAGGTTTGAGCCCCGCGTTGGGCTCTGTGCTGATAGCCAGCTCAGAGCCTGGAGCTGTTTCAGATTCTGTGTCTCCCTGTCTCTCTGACCCTCCCCTGCTCACGCTGTCTCTGTCTCTCTCTCTCTCTCTCTCTCCCTTTCTCTCTCTCTCTCAGAAATAAAACATTAAAAAAAAAGAAGTGAGGGGCGCCTGGGTGGCTTAGTCGGTTAAGCGTCCGACTTTCGCTTAGGTCATGATCTCGCGGTGGGTTCGAGCCCCGCGTCGGGCTCTGTGCTGACTGCCAGCTCAGAGCCTGGAGCCTGTTTCAGTCTGTGACTCCCTCTCTCTCTGACCCTCCCCTGATCACGCTCTCTCTCTCTCTCCTAAAAATAAATAAAAATTTAAAAAAAAA